AAGAAGTGACAGAAGAAAAGGAAATGAAAAAAAAGACAAGAAGCTGACGCGAAATGCGTCCACGTGGATATCTGTGAATATGCGATGATAGAACTTCTCAGAAAACAGAAACTACTCTTTAACTCACCCTTTTCCCCTTTATCAGCAACGAATCCTAAAAAGCGTGAAATAAGCAAAGAAAAACACTGGAAAACATTAGCTCGGGAACTCGCAAGGCATTTATTGACGCCCCAGCGTTGTCGCGTCTGCAGGGACACTATATTAAGCAGGAAATTTACTCGACTGTATATGTGCATGTGTATGTGTATGTGCATGTGTGTATGTGTATGTGTGTGTGTATATGTGTGTATGTGTATATCTGTGTGATGTGTATGTGTATGTCTATGTGCATGTGTGTGTATGTGTGTGTATGTGTATGTGTGTATGTATATGTGATGTGCATGTGTACAATACCGATCATAATTCGTCAAAAAAGTCGCCGGAGTGCGGCGCACTTCGCCACACTCCGCCGCACTCCGGCGCACTGCGCCGCACTCCGCCACACTCCGACGCACTCCGGCGCACTGCGCCACACTCCGCCACACTCCGACGCACTCTAGCGCACTCCGCCGCAGTCCGGCGACTTTTTTGAGGAATTATGAGCGGTATTGTATGTAAAGCAGTCTGTTATATCCCCTTGTTCTTCCACACTGGTATCGTTGCGCTCTTGTAACAATCGTTGGGCATCTTCTTGCATTCTACAATACCACTCACATAACTTGCAAAATTTCCGTGAATGTCGCGAAATTCCGAAAATTCCGCGAACTTTCCGGAATTTCGCGAAACTCCTGAAAGTTTGCGAAGTTTCGCGAAATTCCAGGAATTTCGCGGAATTTTCGGAATTTTGCGATATTCAGGGAAATTTTGCACATTCTGTGAGCGGTATTGTACTCGACGTACTAACAACATTTCTTACATTGTTTTGCTGCTGGTGGCACATTGTAGGATAGAATATCTGCCAAATTACACGACTTTCGAATTTGAAAGAGAATTCATAAGAAGGCGATTTTGTAACATCATAATCTGACGAACAATTCAAATAAAGATCTGTGCTAAGCATGGTCCGATAGAGGTGTTCACAAAGTTTTCAACTCACAGAAATTTGCAGACAATTTTCGCAACAGGTAGGGGAAAAGTGCAGGCGAAGTTGCGATCTTGATTGGTTCAGCTAATTCTATCTCACTTTAGCTTTACTGTAAGACTCTCTAGTGCAAAATAAATAGGATTTTCGTAAAGATCGGGACCAAGAACCACTATGAGTGAAGTTTGCGGCCAATCCGAAAACCTCAATATTTTGACCAAATTTTGCGCCGAGGCCAAGAGTGAGGAGCGGCGCTATATCAATGTGTATTGCTTCTAAGAAGCTGGAAAAAATATGTAATGTATAAGTATGAGACAGGTGTCTAACGTGATTTTTGGGGGAATTACGGAGCAACTTTGGGGGAGCCAATTTTACGGCCTGAGCTTGCATGTTGGGGGGCTAATAACTCTGCGAATATTACAGCTACGGAGCTGTGGTTTGTTTTATTCGATAGATCTCTGAAAATATGATTTTTAGAGAGAAGGTAGTAGAATAACAAATTTCCATTAAAAGTGCCTAATTGACAGCCGAACTTGGGAAATCCGTCAATAAGGGCGATTTCGGCGCCTTATATCTGTAAGAGTTGCAGGGCTGGGGTAATCTCATGTGGCCATTGACATGTAGTTTTGGTAGAACTATTTTTCTAGGGGTAGCTTGGGCCTAGAGATTCCCTGTAGGAGGCGCTATATAAAGGCGAAAGTGCATATTTTGAATTTTTTCTCCGAGGAGAGTAGGGATGACGGGCTGGGATAGCCATTCTTCAGTTTGTATTCGAGGGGGACACCACATATAATTCGGAGAAAATTTAGGGGCTCCGCCTGTGGGAGCCTATCTATAAACCTTCCCGGACTTGAAAAAAAACTTAGACACGCTATTTTTCCTCTTTCTCTCCCTTTCTTTCTCCCCACTTTTTCCCCTCTCTTTATTACAGTGTGTGTACAGTTTTCCTGCGGCCATATGGACCTGGTTAGGAGGCTGATAAGGGCTAGAAAAGGGGTAAATAGGGTTAGAAAAACGCGAATTTCGCTTATTTTTTTTTATTCTCTTTAATTTTGATAGTGTTATGGGGAATAAAGTGGGCGAGCTTGTTTTGACGAGTTTTAGGTGTATAATAGCACTGGAAGTGAGGTTGCTCCGCACTTTTTCAAATTTTTCGCTGTTTTTCGCTCATTTTGTAGAGTTGGGAGGAAAAGGGGGCGGGGCTTGCGGTTGAGTGGGCGGAGTCTAGTGAAGTGAATGGAGCATTGGGGTTTGAAGGTGGGTGTGTGAATCTTCAAAACTGGCAAAATCAAAGTTTTTGAGGTTGCGAAATCTCCAAATTCTCCAAATCTCCGATTTTATCGATTTTAGGAATTTCGCAACCTTCAGAATATCGATTTTAACGATTTTTGAGGTTTTGGAGTTTGAGAAACATCGGATTTATCGATTTTTGACAATTTTTGGGAATTTTGCAACCTTCAGAATATCGACGTTATCGATATTTGCCAATTTTTGGGAATTTTGCAACCTCCAGAACGTCGATTTTATCGATTTTTGACAATTTTTGGGAATTTTGCAACCTCCAGAACACCGACTTTATCGATTTTTGACGATTTTTGAGGTTTTGATAGTTCTCTAACTTCAAAATATCGATTTTATCGCTATTGAGCTGTGAACTGTAAGCCCCGCCCACTTTTGATGTTATTATACACCTAATATATGTACATTTCCTTTCACTCACTCCATATACAATACCGATCATGATTCGTCAAAAAAGTCGCCGGAGTGCGGCGCACTTCGCCACACTCCGCCGCACTCCGGCGCACTGCGCCGCACTCCGCCACACTCCGACGCACTCTAGCGCACTCCGCCGCAGTCCGGCGACTTCTTTGACGAATTATGAGCGGTATTGTATGTGTATGTTATGTGTATGTGTGTATGTGTATGCATATGTGTACGTGTGTATGTGTATGTTTATGTGTGTGCATGTGTGTATATGTGTGCATGTGTATGTGTGTATGTATGTATCAGTGGCGTACCGAGGGGGGGGGCGGGCCCCCCCCCCGAAAACGGGTCGCGATATTTTTGAAAGTTACTTACATGGGTTATAGAAATGTGCAAGTGACTTGCTTTTACTTGTAAATAATTGAAATAATTTTTAAAATTTTTTAAAATTTCATTTTAGCCTTATAAAAAAAATTTTTCGGGGGCGTGGCTGACGCCACGCCCCCTTTTTCCAGATTTTAGGGGTCGGGAACCCGGAAAAATTTTGAGAAGCACCCCAAAATTTTATCAGAGTGCGTGGCTAACGCCACGCACCTTCTTTAGAAAAAAATTTTTTTCGCGCCCCCCCCCCCGAGCCGAAATCCTGGGTACGCCACTGGTATGTACATGTGTGTGATGTGTACGTGTATGTGTATGCATGTGTGTATGTGTATGTGTACGTGTGTATGTGTGTATGTGTATGTATGTTTATGTGAGTGTATGTGTATGTGAAGGTGTATGTGTTTGTGTGTATGTATATGTGTGTGATGTGTATGTGTATGTGTATGTGTGTATGTGTATGTGTATGCATGTGTGTGATGTGTATGTGTATGTGTATGTGTGTATGCGTATGTGTGTGTGCATGTGTGTATGTGTATGTGTGTATAGTATGTGTATGTATCTTGTCCTACAGGAGCGTGCGGGCCATTTTGACCGAGTGGGCGGGGTTTCCAACGGAGGGGGCGGGTCGGCCAAAGGGGATAGTCGGCCGCCAACGAACCTCGATGCACTTTGACCGAACCCAATCGAGCGATTGGGCACGCGCGCGCGTGTGTGTGTGTGTGTGTGTGTGTGTGTGTGTGTGTGTGTGTGTGTGTGTGTGTGTGTGTGTGTGTGTGTGTGTGTGTGTGTGTGTGTGTGTGTGTGTGTGTGTGTGTGTGTGTGTGTGTGTGTGTGTGTGTGTGTGTGTGTGTGTGTGTGTGTGTGTGTGTGTGTGTGTGTGTGTGTGTGTGTGTGTGTGTGTGTGTGTGTGTGTGTGTGTGTTGTCCACTCCTCCACTATCACTCCTGTGAAAACTAGGAGATTTAGGCTATTGATCCATATAAATATGGTTTGCTAAAAATGTTTTTTGATATAGTTAATGGGGTGCTGCACACCCCCTTAAAAGCTGCGGCGGCCGCAGCTTTCAAGGGAGTGTGCCGCACCTCATTAACTATATCAAGAAAGCATTTTTAGCTAACCGTATTTATATGGATCGATAGCCTAAACCTTGTAGATTCCATAAGACTGTTTTGAGCCTGATTCGTTTACTCTGAATTATATTTGGTGAAAGCACAGCGATCAAAAGCAAAAAATGGAAAAAACAAGATTTTGGTTGGCTTCTAATTCCACAGTTTGGAGGTCTTCTTAAGTGGGATTTTTGACTTGGGCAAAGAAGGAGTAGTGCTTTGTCTTGAGTGCAAAAACGGATAGCTAATTCATCTTTGAAACAAAGTTAACCATGTTGGAATTTGACCATTTCACTTAGGTGGCCTAGTATCTTGAATCTTTAGAATTCGCTCACACCTTGTCTACAGGGTTATTTGACATGCTAATTTTGGATAAAATACGAATATCATGTTATCACTATTATCAGATTACCCAACTACGATCCCCTCCCCTTTTGACTCCTCAATGCGAGCCCCCAGGTGTGGTGTGCCGCACCCCACGCTTGACCCTGGCCATCATACATGAGCAAAAAAACTTAATGCTTTAAAAAAATCTCAAAACTTAGTTTCCGGGATGTGACGTTTCCTACAGAAACCACTTTCGGAACGACATAATAGCTGTTTGCCCTTCACCTTTTAGAAACTATATCAATGCTGCGCAAGTCTTGATTTCAATTCATTTTAATACTGATTTGTTATAAATTTTGTAGATGTTATGTGGCGTCGCTGGCATTTACGGCTGCTGTAATTGCCTTGCTGATAGTATATATAGTGAACATCTCTCAAACAAGCCTAAAGGAAACGGTAAGTGTTTACAAACAGCCATTTTCAGTTTAATATGGAAGCATTCCAGGTCAGTCATATGAGCGCAGCACCTGATTACACAAAGTCCTATGTGGTGATGACCGAGAATTTTGATTGTTCACTTCTTGCAAAGTTAGCTTGAACAACTAAGCGAAGTCTCTTAAAATCTAAATTTTTCTAGAAGAGCTTATCTAAAATCGATGGAAACCGCTGACAGTGCAATAATGTGCCTAACGGCTACCGTTCCTTACTGTGTTGCGGGGCTATATTCAAGCATTTCCTCGTTTTACTACTTAAGATTATCAATAGAAAGGGCGGTAAGTTTATCGCACACGTGCTCTACAAACTGATTTCTTCATGCTCAGGTGAGAACTTGGAAAAGACTAATGGTTCCAAAACAAATGAAAATGTACGTTACATGCTCTTATGTACTTGTTATTCTACAATAATGAGGACCGGCCCGCCGCCCGTCACCGTTGGCTCAATACGCGTCGCGGCTCAAAGGCGACGCGTGCACCCGTATACTGGTTTCATTAAGCATGAGAGACTTTTGCGCAACTATTCTAAGCTACCAAACGAAAAGTGTACTTCAAAGTTGTTTCAGTGCGTAGATTTCGTTATGGCTCCGTTTGGCGGAGCAGTTCCCCAAACAAAACAATCACTTTGCCTCGTGTGCTTTTGTGCAGATGGTAGACGTCAAACAATTGCTTCTATCACAACAATGGGTCAAACATTAAAATGCCCTTAAAATATGAGCAGGTAGTAAGGAGAGACCTACGCAGTAAAGATAGGCATGAGTCTACGCAGACGAAAATTTTCCTCCATTTTTGATTGTCTGCTTCTTATTATTGGAGAGGATAGAACATGTATAAAAATAATGCAATCTGTTGCTGAGATTACACCACAGACCTTTTTTGCACGGTCCGGAATTAGACTCACTCTGTACACCAAGACGAGGCTTCATAGTTGGACAGGTTGGACAGATAGGATGTCAATTATGCATATCAGCTAGTGGCTCTGTTCACTCACATGCTTGTCCAGTCACGGAAAATATGACATTAGCGAAATTCCAAATCTGTGACGAAGTTCATCAGCTTCAGTCCGGGGCAGAGTTCTGGTAGTAATACCAATCCAAAAACTATTGATTTACATGTCGCTAAATGTGATATTGAGGCGCTACCTTCCTATCAAACGAGAGTATCGCATTCACTAAGTCACAGTAACTTCGCTATATATGTTAGAATACAATTCGAGGAATTCTAGCAACAGGCATCGCAATAAGGATGAACATCTACAACTTGTAGGCTTCACAGTTCACGCTCATTTTCTGAAGATGACTAGTAAAGCAATGTAGAAATGTAGAGTCGTTGTGTGTCTAGTCTATTCTCTCTGGTAGGATCACATGTTGTGCAGCCTCCTTTCCCGCATAAGTCTTAAATAGATGGTGGAGTTTTATATAGCAATGTGCAAGCAATCCGCCTCTACGAGATTGGCGATTCTAACATCCAGGCCTCAAATTACAAAGGCTGTGATTTTTGCTGGAACACAATAGATGGGCATTATCCCACACATTGTTTACGAAATTCGACAACTAATTATTTCCTTGCATTGTGTGTTAAGGTCAAAACCACAATTTGGCTTTGATTGGTCTGAAGGTTATCTGCTCACACAATCGCCGGGGGCAGGCGGGCACCGGAAAGATAGATTGCTGATCTCTCGCACCCCGCTCGCGGATTTTTTGGAAAGCAATCAGGGTTCGGAAGATCGCTTGCTGAGTTCTCGATTCCTCAGAGATTCAGCAATATATCTGCAAAAGATAAAAGCGAAAAAAAAATTCAACAGGCGGTCTCTCAAAAATCCGCTGACTCAGCAAGCGGTCTTCCGAAAAGTCCTGATTGCTTTCCAAAAAATCCGCGGGCGGGGTGCGAGAAATCAGCAATCTATTTTTCCGGTGCCCGCCTGCCCCCAGCGATTATCTGAGTGGTATGCTAAATACAAGCAGCATACTTATTTTTGCATAATGAGGCTTCTTCAAGGAGTTCTGGAAAGTGTACGGCATGAGGTTATGGATTTGCCGTGGACCTTGGCCTTTTCGGGCAGATGTGCCTATGCTAGGTGATTACAAAGTGATGAACAGTGGTGGTGAATACTAGCATGGTGCTAATTCTTTTTGCATATTTGATACGTCAGCGCAAAAACGCGCTTCAATGATGAGTTTCAGTGTGATACTAGTGTGTCACCCGGACTGTGGCGCGTACTGAGCCGACGATGACGAGCGGCGGGCCGGTCCTCTATAATAATTAGCAAGCGATGACTTCAGTGTATTTCTAATCAAAATATCGCAGTGATGCAGTGAGCCAAGGTTTGTGTGTTAGCAAAATCAGTGCCACCCTGTTTGCCATGTTTACAAGCAGGCTATAGAAGCATCTGCATTGGTTTAAGTTTTTGATGTGATCAAAGATAAAACATAGAAAATGGACGCAATCCAAGAAATGCTAAATTCCGCCGACTCAAGAATTACTCCTTGACGCGTCTTGACATGGCCAGCTTAGAAAAAAATACTGTGCTAGTGTGTTTTTGTTGCATATGACACATTTCCCATTGTATACAGTGAGGCCATTTGTGGAAGACTCGTCCGCTTTTGAAGAAGCAGAGTTTGAAAAGAGATTGATCTCAAGAGTTTTGTATTCAAATCGGTCATAGGCCAGCAATGATAAAAGAGCGTCCAACAATCTGGAGAGGCTACCTTCAAGGTTTGGGCTTTCTGTATTTAAACGTTGACACCGCGCAACGGTGAGCAGCAGCCAGACTGTTACTGTGGTGACCACCGACTATGATGCGTGGCGCTTCATTTCAGTCATAATTTACACAATCGTGCTGATTTGAGTTCATTTGATCAATGGAGTACTTTGCACTGCGTGCCCCTTCCAGTTTGCATACTCAAAGTGTTCCAAAAAGCGTGCACAGTGCTCACCCAAATTCTGTGATTACAAACAAGTACGTAAACTCCGTCGACATTGAAAGCAAATCAACGACAGGAGGACTGAAACGAGCTAACTTATATGTAACAGGAAGATAATCAAGAGCGTGAGTGCTGCAATATTTGGCAATAATCCATAATGAAAGGAAGTGTTGAAAACATAGATTGAATGAAACCTCCACAATTTCACTCAGAAACTCAGTGCCTTGAAAGAACATCAAAACAGCAATTCTACTAACGCTCACTGATACATGCCTGTGGCGAAATAGTAACCTTTTGCTAGCCCAGCTTGCTGAGGATAACGGAAGGTAAAAAGAGAGACTAAAATGTTTTCATGGTTACAAATGAGTCAAAAGCTTTAGCTTCAGTGACTAATAGGAGTTTTGCCCTATAGAGGTTTTATGCTGTTTCGAGCTTCTCAAGTATGTTAGGATAAGAAAGAGCTTCCTATACAGCTTTTTCGGCACCTCCAATGCATCGCTGTTTCAATGTTGAATATAAATTAAAAAATTATGAGAAGCTTGTGATGTGAGCAAGTCTTGAGAATGAAGGCGTTTCGGCAGGTTGTGAGCAAGTTACAAGAATTTGTGGTTGAGTTCTGCATTAATGTCTTGGTTTATTATTAGGTCCTTCGGAAAGTTTTTTCGTTTTCGCACCTTCAAATTCAAACAAGCGCATTTTACCCAGGTTTAACCTTTGTCCATGAAATAAGTTTCACGGTGTTCAGCAAATATCTGATAACACTATTATAAGGTTCTTTGCTTTTTCCTTGCAAAATAGTCTCAAAGGAAACAATAAGACCTAAAAAGACGTTTTTGACTAGCTAATCTTCATTGGGTCCTATTCTTTTCTAATGGGCACCGAGGAATTCGGTGATTGGTAAAGGAAGGTCTAAAGAGTTCGAAAAAACAGGAACCTCGGTGCGAGTCAACTTTTTTGTGAAAGACACCTTTCTTACATGTGCTTCGACGGCGTCATGGGCGAGTATGGCATCTCACATAGGTTATACGTGCAAGTCTGTTCAGTTTGAAAATTTTGACAGACGGTCTTCAGAGCGATATCACACTCTCTGTTCCTACAGTACAACTGCATCTTATAGCGTGCAATACAGCAGGATTACATTAATTTGAGTATATCAACCTTTTGGAATGACTGACTGTTCTGGGCATGCTTTCAGTGCTTAGTTTATTATATTATATGCCCTCTGGCACTCTCTCAAAATATGCACCAACATCAAACTCGCAAAAAGCGAAAAAACTTCCCGAATAACCTAATAATACTTTTTCATTGCTTTGCTATACCTTGCTTTTAATCATCTGCGCTGAACGAAAGACGGCATCTTTACCATCCGTCTCTCTTTCTTCATATGCGCACTTACTAATAGCTATCAAATACAAAATGCAATCCAACAAATGCCCATTGACATTGAGAAACTTTACTCATTGTATTTTTACAGGTGGAGCAAGGGATTTGGGCTTATGAGAGTAGTTGAAATATCCACAGCCGATGGATCTCCAAAGAATGTGATCTACTTTGAGAAGTTCGTTCGTGAAAAGTGGCTTCGAAATAAAACGAAAGCAGTTGAAGCTAATATTACGAATGTAAGTTTTGTCCAAGCAATATTTTTGATGCGCGGCTTGTTTTTTCAAACAGCTGGCAAAGCCTAAAGTCTCTCAACATATTCAGACTACTTATTGTCTCAAACCGCTCAGGATGTAGGGCCTTCACAAACTGTCACAAACTTGAAAGTAATTTCACTTTCTTTGGACAAACGCCACATTCCGCGGGACAAAAATTATGAAAGATTAGTTGGCAAACCCGGCTCCGCCTGGACCTGCCAATAATATATTTGTAATCAGCATGCTCGATTGCCCCCCCCCCCCCTGTGCCAACTCCCAGCCCTGTAGCTAAAATTTTGGGAAAAATCTATATCAATCGATGACGAAAAGTAGCCTGTGACACCCGCCCGGTCCCGAAATGTATGTGTGCCAAGTTTGGTCCCGATAGGTTCAGAACGGTATTTTCTATTCGGAACATACGTACAGGCAGACATACATACAGACAAACAGACATTCACCCTTATATATAAGATGTTTGAAACTGATACACTTTTGTTACTCTTCTAGATAGTATATTTTCATTGCAGATCAAACAACAAATTCTAACAATGAGATTTCACCCAAAAACCATGGTTCTTACTATAGTGAAGTCGTGGGTATGGGAACGCCGAAATTGACGGAATTGAGCCTATTTCAAAGCTTTCCGAGTTCCATAGTGAAAAATAGGTGTAACAAGGGAGGGGAGAAGGAGGTCCCTGAAATTTCCGTAGTGAATTTTAGGCTTCCAGATGCTTTTTGCTTCAGACTTCACTGGTGAATTAGTCGCGGGCTCTGCTGTTCCAAGCTAAAATGGCATCCAGCATTCACTACTTTACCGGGATGCTAAGCGCCTTGAACAACCCATGCGCCTGGCGAAATCAAACGGGTAGATCGTGAAAGTGGAAAGCGGCAAGGCGAGTTACAGGCAAACACTGGTGTTGCTCGCGTGTTGATTTTCTAGAATAGAGTTGACCAAAAATGGATTTTAATAGCACCAAAGAAACGATTCAAAAATTTTGAAAAGCAAGCTATGACCAAGCCCGGCACGAGGTGGGCAAATGACAGGCTAGAAATCGTTTTGAGTGAAAAAAGCAAAGGGGAGATCGTTTTGCGGGTCCGGGGCAAAAGTTAGCGCATACGTATCTACGTATCTTAACGTGTTATGTGTCTCGTTTGAAAATTAAGCGCATTATTTTTTCCCGGTTTCTAGCCGTCAGAAAAATGCAGCAAGGGCATGTGTAAATATCCGATGAGGAGAGTATATGCATGAGAAAGCAGGAAGTTTGCAGAGTTGTTTTGAGCTGAGATATGATGATTTTCGTTTTTTCGGAAAATTGGAAATTCTTCTATTTTGGCTCCGAACTCGTTGCAGAATGAACTTGTTGCGAACTTTTGAACGCCATTTTTTAGAGCTTGCTTTGGTCTTTCGAAAGGTATCCTGCATTTTATTAGGAGTTCAAGAAGAACTGATTTATGTCGTTAAAAAGTCAGGTATGAAAAGACTTATGGGACAACCTAATAGAAGACATAGAATAATATCTCTATGGAATAGGCAGGAAACCGTTGCACAGGTCTTCTCGTTCTGCTCGATCTCCGAAGCGTGGAAGGTTGCGTGGAGGGCTCGTGGCTCGATGCCGATGTCGATGTCGTTGAGTCCACTAGTGCTGCACATCGCTTGATATCGCTTACTCGAAAATCTCGTCAGCTGCATTGCCGGTTCTCTGTAGTGATTTGTCTTCTGAACATCTAACAGTATCTTCGAGGCTTTGGACTTTGTTTGAGTTGTTGTCGCACGGCAAGCTGTTCACTGTCGCTTCGATGCCGCAGCTGATTTGTGAGCTTCTTGCAAATTTCATCACCGACCATTTTCTCTAATCGACACGTTCGATAGGTTTCATCACGGCTCAATTTATCCAGTGGATGTGAGGTGGTTTCCACTACTTAGGGTGTAACAGTTCACGAACTTAAAAATCTTTCCGACAAACTCAATTCTTTTTGTCGAATCAATTTTCATGCATACTCGTCGTCTTCGTGCGAGAGGTCTTCTGCATCTTCGGACATTGGTGGTAGCAGGCTTAATCTTGCGTGCAAGTTTCGGCCTAGAAACAATTCTGCTGGGTCTTATCGTTTGAATTCCTGTTCGGTGTTGTCCTAAACCTTGCAACGCCACTTTCAGAGTCTCTTCTGAGGCCTCTCCTCTCTCTTTAGCTTCTTGATCCCGCGTTTGCGTATCAACGAAACGCTCTGCCTGATTCGATTGAGGTAGTATGGAGCAGCCCTTTTGCGTGTGATTTACCTTCATCACACATCTTTCTTTGGAATAGGTCCGACGTAAACTGATTACCTTGTCGCTTCACTATTGTTTGTGGTATTCCATAACTAGCAAATACGTTTTCTACGTCACTGTGATCATTTCGGGCTATCCACTGTATGCCATCCACTACTACTAGTAAAGAGCCAGCTTCTTCATCCTTACAACCCTAAATATCCTATATACAATTCTTTCAGAACATTTGCTCGAAGTCTCTTGGGTATAACAAGTTTATCCATCAGGCATTGTCCCACAACTGACAATGTCTTTTGTCGTTTTCGAGAATGCTCCAGGTCTCCATTTACTCAGACACTGGGAGCGGGCGAGCGGCGGCCCAGTTCCGGCCGGGCAATCGCAGCTCCCGCGAGCCGGCCGTGAATGGACAGCCGGCTCGCCCGTAGTGGGCCGCGGCTCGGCCGGATAAAAGCCGCGGCTTGGCTGTATTGGTTCTTTTGAATCGTTCTAGCACTTCCAAAAATGGAAATTTTAGCTGCTTCTTTTAGCACATGAAGACAACAGAACAATCACATATTCATGGCAACTCATTTATCTTCTGTGTCCAGAATATATATGAAAAATAGTCACAATCATGAACAGAGAATCAAACAATCTACAAAAAATGATGATATCCTTATTGCGCTGTTCTACTCCCACTGTTCTCGAAAGCGCAAATATGTTTCGTCATCTATCATCTCGATGTTGTCTTCGGCAGCCTCGACCAAAGCTTTTCTTCCCTGCCTCTAAAACATTTGGATAACGCTGAAATAGCCAATATATTAGGTTGTTTCCTAATTAATGTTTTTCCTACCTCTTTCAAACGCTAGTTTTCAATTAAAAATCGTTTCTCTAAAACCATCTAAACAATTGGAAAGCTCGTTTTTTATATTTTCTGACATACACTTCTGTTTTCGGAGATCTTTGTTCAGGCCGAAGTTCCGTACCTTTGTCATGAGATCATTTCATCAGACTGCATAACATTGGGTAATATTGAGTAACATCACATCACTTGTTATGCAATGTCTTACCCCGCCCTAACCACTGTTATTGTTGTAAGGCGGACCTGTATATAAGAGAGGGCTGGAGACCATCAGGGACACTCACACACACCCATCCCCTTCCCCCTACCTCCATCGTTTAGTTTTGTATCTTTAGTAATAAACATATATAATCACCATATTCGATACACCGTAACACCGCTACACCTTCAGGCAAGGGCTCGTACACCCCTTGATCCTGACATGGAAGTCCCAGAGAGATCTTTCTTTAGAATTCTTTTTTTTAATTTTTTTTGAGATAAACCCAGTTTTAACCGTTCTTGGGGATAAAATTCTGCCCTTCTCCCACCCTACCCACCCCAAATGTCGTCCTATGTCTTCTTCCCCTTCCTTAGCCGATCACTAAGGAAGTTCGAACGAAATACGTAAGTTCCTTTACATATTAAATTATAGCTTACTAATAACTTCATAGATTATGTGCAATCCGAAAACTGCCAATATAAAAGTCCTGCGGGCGAGTACCTTGATAAAAACGTAAAAACAATTTTTCAAAACAAGTCAAATCGTAGCAGAAACGCTCTCAGTTTTGTTTATGGAAGTAATCCCTTATCAAATTTACACGTACACGAAGTCTATTTCACTTTAACCGTATTTCATTACTCCATTATTACCTCGACTAACTTAAAATTTTTTTTTTCAAATTCCGAATTCCTGCTTACAACGTAAAATACATAACTTCAATTCAAAAAAAAATTATATCAAATTTATCTAAAGAGAATATCAATAAACCTAATTATTGAATTTTTCAATGCTAAATATATAATCAAATACAATAATTTTCTTTCATTCTATGGACTCGCTCGCAAACCCCGGGAAAGTAATTACTAAACTATAGCAGAGAGTACTGATATATAGAAGCGCAACAATCTATGTCAGAAAGTTTCTCTCCGCTTCACATCGTTTTTGCGAATAAATCAGTGCACAACGTAGTTGGGAGAGAGCTATGCTCAATCATCAGCAACGTTATTCTACGCAGCACAATTTACGCGAATAAAACACTTGGATCTCGTAACACGTGAAATCGCACCGATCCACAAATCAGCGCGACAATCTACCACAGCCCCATACTTATGCGGATAAATCACTGTTTTTCGCGTTCAGCGCTACCATCAGTAGCGATAGATTTCCGCGGACGCGGAGCCACATGTGATAGCACGCGAAAATATTTCGCCACGCCACCACTTCTATTACACCACACTGCCAACCAACCAACCCCAATAGTTAGACAATTGTGCCACTCATTAGTAACCTCTTGTGAACAATTGCGTAACTCTCAGAAACCATTGACATCATTACTCAAGCTTCGAACACATGGCCGTGAACACACGAAATATATGTACGAATACTCACAATCAATGACCTCCTCCAGACAAATTATTAGTTACAAATTACTATGCACATTTCTAACAACATCATACTAAACGTACCACCCACCATACCGTATCCGGTACCACCCTCCGAAGAATCCAGAAAGTCACAAACAACTTGCCGCACTTTTACTACATAGCAAAAATCCACCATTGACTAAGTATCCTGCTAATGACTTGTAGCTCAAAATATAGCCGTACATATCGAACAAGATCTTGCGAACATTAATAATGACGTCATGCTAACGCATGAACAAAGACAAGATCGACAACATTTTGAACTTAACACTAAAATACAATTTTAAAATAAAATTAGAAGAAGTAATGCGACACGATTTTAATTACCTTTTCGACCGTATCTGTAGCCTAACTAACTTTAGAAACCAAGCCATAAAAAGTATTGCCCAAATTAACCCTACAAGCGCAGCCCGAATTGTATTAAACCGAAATGATATTTTTGCTATAGCAGCAGGGATGTGCTAATGGTTTCAAAGTGTAAAGAAGTACACATATATGAATTTTATTTGGACCATAATGTTAATGGAATCTGCTATATATTTACCCTAGTACGTATAGGAGAGGATATTCATTTTGTAATATTCGGCACAAAAGACTTAACAACTAGCAGCGCTGAAGCCAATTGTGGACATCTTCCTTTCGGAATATACAATGATGGCACTAGTCATTACAAATCTTCTAAAGGCCTCATAGACGTAGCACAAATTCACACTAATCTACCATACGCATTAGCCACCCAAGATTTCATCTTCAATGCACCTCCAATTTTCCTTCTGAATTTAGCACGACTATGCACCGAAGTACACTTACTACAAAATACTGGTATACTGAACAGTTGCCTTCAGCAGAACACACCAAACCTTATCGCGAAGATGCAGCAGATGAAT